AGAGCGTCTATGTAAGAGAAGAAATGAAAGGCCTCAGAAGAGAGAAACAGGACCAGAGATTTTTGGGAGATTCTTTCATGTGATGACGTACACTGAAAGCACAGGTCGGGTGCTCGGTTGCAAAGTTTTTGGAGAAATGGGCTCCTGCATGCTCTCGCACGCGTTTAATAGGCGTTCCCTCTCAGGAGCTGGTGCAGGGTTGTGCATGTCCTTTTTTTTTTTTTTTTTTTTTTTTTTTTTTTTTTTTTTTTTTTTTTTTTTTTTAAGTGGAGAGGGCGCATCTTTTCTAAAATTTGCAAAAATCCTCCACTATACCTTTAAGGAGGTAGATTTTTCTTAGAGAGGTTGAGCACTTCAGATTTTAACAGTAGAAAAAAACTCTTGGATTTATCCTTTAAACTGTGCTGTGCTGTAAAGCAAACGGCACTGGTTGGTTAACCACATACACAGCTCCATACAACCAATACGTTCTCTAGTCTATGATTGAAAATCATGTTTCTGTCTCACAAACCTTTTTTTTAATCCCACACTGGCATCTCAATTACTGACCTGAACCAGATATTGTCTTTTTTGTGTTATGAAAGTGAAATATGTCACAATATATGTTTATCAAACAAACCAACACGGTTTGTAAATCTATCCCCTTGATTGAAAAGTTGCATTTAGACCACCATGTTATCAGAGCATAAGCACATTGTTAGCGGTTTTTATTTGACATTTAAACACTTATTGTAGAATGAAAAACACAACAATACTGGAAAACTGGGATATAGCGAAGGATGAAGATGTTTTTGTAATATGGGTTGAAACACTCACTTATTGCCCATTTCTGATAATTTTAGAGCCATAAAAAAAAAAATAAAAAAAATAAAAGTAGAGCCAGATGGCCAATAAAATACTGGTTTTATTGGTCCATTCCTCTGGTTAGACAGTTAGTTTTTGCAGCAGCACTACACTGCTTCACCATCCTTTTCATTTTACTTTATTTGTAGTTTTAAAATTTCATACATTTCCAGACTCAAATTTCCACCCTTTGTCCATGAACTTGTTCTTATTTGTTCTTTATATGTTCAGTTTCGTACAAATATTCACTTTTAAATATTCCAAACTACAAAAACAAACACATTGTTGAAAGTCTTTTTTGTGCATCGTAATGTCTAAAAGCTTTTTTGGCATGTGGTCTTAGTTTAAAAATCTATAACAGTTGCAACTCAACTCTTAACTACTATATTTCTTTGAAGAACTTTACTAGTTGGGTTTCATTTCATGTTTAAGTACTTTCACAAAGTGGTTTAAAAAGTGATTCAGGTGAAATACCCCATTGTCCCCTTTAACTTTGCAGTCAAAACATCTTCTAATATTAAAAATCTTTGAGCTTTCAATAAATGTGTACTGAGCAAGTAAATCCAATTGAAAACCCAAATGGTATAAAGTTAAAATAAAGGGCATTTTGCAAAAAAAAAAAATGGAAAAGCTTATCTAATCATAAATAAACAATTAGAAAAACACTAAATTTTCTTCCCCTACCTTCAATTTTCCAAAGGGCTAAAAATCTATCAGTGGTAACACTGTAAATATTTTGCAATGTGATTTAAAGCTTCGAAAGGTTATTTCAAAGTGTTGCATCTTTAAAACAAAGCAGCTAAATTCTCAGGGATATACTGTCGGTAAAATAAAACATCAATGTATCGACTTTAAAATAGATGCAGACCAGACTTTTATGTCAGTAGTCATGGAGATCGACTGAATAGACCATCAGTTAGCTCCATCTTTGTAAAGGTTATGACTCTATATAAAAATAATGAACTGATATCCTTTGCATTTTGTAAGAAAAGCTTATAGGTCTATCTGGTAGACAATCCTTTTTATTATGTGCAACATTAGCTAAAGCACATTTCAATTTTCTGGAGGCTGTCACATTGAGATTGGAGCCATTTGTTTAGATTTAAACTCTACTCTGCACACATAAAGCAGAAAGTGTGCTTTCAATTCTTTATGCAACGCATAAATTAGAAATATCTCCTTAAATGCAGGATGTCTGGATGGAGACTGATGAAGCTGCTGATATAAGCAAATCGTTTATGGCATTTAAAGGAAGAGTCTATCCAAAATATCTTGAAACCTATGACTACTCTGTATAATCATGACTAACCGATTTAGTTTGCTGAATAGCATCACTGACAGGAAAACTGAAAGAGTTTAATTATGAATGAAAGGAAGACACTCCACATGAACTGTATCCTTGTGGCGATGCACTGCGAGTGAACCCAGGACTGGGGCCTGAGGTAATGGGCTCTGGGTTCTCTGTTTGCTCCTGGGAGAGTGGCAGATGTGTGAGGCTGAGGAAAGAGAAACCATGACAGAGGCTAATGGAAACCCAGCGCCTCCTTTTTCCCCGTGCATTAACAGCAGCAGCAGTGCCATCTCCCTAACCCTGAACGACCTGGCAGCAGCACCAGCTGTTCCAGCCGTCGGCAACTGAACAACTGGGCCTAACCAGTCTTGCTGCTTTTAACACCCGATTTCAAAATGTCCAAACCCTCGAAAAGCCTTCTCTGTAACCTCCCCCATGATCTAAAAAGGTGCATCTTCTCAGTGCCAGCGCTAAGTCATATCTGAATGTCACAGGCAATTCTCAGCTCACGGCAAATGGAAAGGAGGCATGGAAAGAGATGGGAAGGCAGGTCCAGATAAAAGCCCCATAGAACTGCAGGTACCAAAACGGCTCCAGATGAGCTTCCAGCTCCAGGTAGTGATCTGGGATAACTTCAGCTTTTAAGTGCATCTACACAGGAACAACCCAGCTGCATTTGGTTCACTCTCTCAGTCCTGGTGCAGAGATTACAGCTCGACATCTCCCCATCAGACAGATGTGCCGTGCTTCCACTAATATCTCATGGAGGACCCGGCTCTGTGATCAATTTGCCTAATAGGTGCCTTGCTGTGGTTCTCTAGGTGAGAACTAGCATGCAATGTCACAAGTTAATCACCTGAGTTACTCTAATTAATTACACCTCTGGTAGAGACTGATAACGACTCTCCCAATCGTTCTAAATTGGTGGCCTGCATCTGCGACATTTGGCTTTCCAGATAAAAAGTAGCACCGCATGTAGAAAATAAAGGCCTGTCGCACTGAGAATGTGTATGTCTGTTAATTCCAGTTCCATGCTGACCTTTAGTGATGTTAATGCATGACTAAATTACCATTTTCTACACCTAAAGCCCCTAAAAGACTATTTTTATGAAAAAGCTGGTTAAATTGAAATGTTCCTGCATCCTAATAAAACTTATTACTTGACCCTCATTTGAATTTTTTGTGGGGGAAAAACAAGTGCCTTATTTCTCCACCCCTGCAGGGGTTCAACAGAAGAAACTCATGGGAGAAATGCTCCATCTAGTGCCCAGTTGTAGCATTTCAGTAAAAAAGAAATATGGATTTTTCTTAAAAAAATACAAGCCATTTAAAGCGCGGCCTTTATTATTCCCTCTTTCTACCATGAAGCAAATAGTCTCTTTTTTTTAAATCAATATTTCATATCATCTAGTGGAACATTTCTCTTCACACTTCATGCAATGCTAATATTTCAGGTCAGTGTCACCAGGGTTTTACAATCTTCTGCAAAGAGTGAAAGCTGTATGGTGTAACATTTTTTTAAAACGACTCACCTCTCATTTGTTGAGGTAACAGCCTCATTACTTGGCCCCCCTGCCCACCGATGGCCCTCCCTTCACCCTTAGACACCTGCCGTTTACCACAGGTGGGCATGTAATTGCTTTGTGGTATTGCCATGTTCTGAGTGCTCAGGAGAACCCAGCCATGCTAATGAGGCTGCTCCATGTGTCTCTTCTCCACAGAAAACCTGGCCTTGCATCATATGAAGGGTCTGGCTAAAGTATTAATATCTCTCCACTGTTTTGACATTTAGGCAGGTTATGGCTGAAACCTCGGTGGATTCTATTGGGGTTTTATTAGATGAACTATAATATAGCGGTGAACTACAGTACTATGTACTGGAAGAAACCTCAGAAGCAACAAAAAACACAAATAAAAAGTAAATTAAATCTAAAAAATGGCCATGTGTTCTTTCCAGCTTTAATTTTAATGTTTTTGAATAAAATATAGTGCAGGATGAATAAAAGGTCCTACCAACCTTATCTGATCATTCCAGTGACCCTCACAGTTCTTTATATCTTTTATTTTTAACCCTCAGGTACACCACTCACACCTCCCACATTACATATCCCATAATGCCATGTGACAGCTACTGCACTAGTTCACTAGCCTTGTATGAGGAAGGCAGATTGATAAAGCTTAAGGCACTTATTTCCTTGAAAACAGTAACAATCTGAGCCGGCTCAGCAGAGATCAACTTCAATCCCTGATAAATACAAATCTAACAGCACTTTGCCCTGATCCGGAAACACCACCCCCAAAGAAACACGGGGCGGCAGCATCATGCTGAGGGGATGGCTTTGTTCTGCACGGCCAGGGGAGCTGGTAGGCGTTTTATAGAGCAGATGGAGGGGAATATAGGACACTCTGAGAGGACGCCTATTAGAGGCTGAAGCGACCTGAATCAACCTTTGAGGCTATGCTTAAACTATTTTTTTCTGTAATGAATAGATGAAAATGTCCACCTTTACATGTAAAAAGAACAGAATATCAAGATTAAAGTCAGGTATTCCGGAATTTAGGAAGTAAAACATTTTCAATATGTTGTATTGTTTTTAACTGACAATTTTGGACGACCTCCATCAGAGACGATCTAATTCATATATAGTGAAAATATTACAGGTAATGTGACAATTAGCATAACAACCTACCACACACAGTAAATGTCACTTACACCAAATACCCATAACATTATGACTGGTAACCTGAGGCAGCTCATGTCATTTTTGAATAATTTTACTTTAAAGATCTTACTTTATACTTGCAAGCTATAGCAAAGTAATGCAGGTAACATCTGCGGTGTAAAAAAGAAAGAATAAAGACTCACTGGTAGAGCAGTGTTTGTAACTGGCCTCGCCGTGAGTGTTGGTCTTGGCCTGTTCATCTCCTGCAGGATGCTGCTTTCTGCTTGGTAAAGCACCGGGGGCTGTGGACGGCTGACCCAGGCTCTGGGCGCCTGTAGGGACAAACAGAAGTCCTCAGAAACAGGAAATATAGTCTGATATTAAGTGCGGGAGGCAAACAGACCCTGAAACGCTGGTAGAATAGTTTGCATTCAGATGTTTATAGATCACAGATCACAATGATCTAGTTAAGAAAGAAATACTAAGCAGGCATAAATTGGTATAAATATGTTGACTGCTAAAGATAAAATAGTTGGTCCAGCTCCCAGCCAGGAAAATACAGATCAAACCTGAGCTTTAGTGAAGAGTTATTATGGCCTTGAAAAGTTTCTAGCAAACCCAACAGAGTTTAGTTTTCAGAAGAGCCGAGTTAATAGATGGTTTTATGTCAGAAAAAGTACGATATCATTTATGTGGCTATATTCCTCCTGCGGCAGCTAACTTATTATTTAGAAACACTCATTCAAATTCTGTACTTAAAGAGGGAATTAAATGGATTTAAGTGACCTTTGAAACAGCTCTGACATGAACACTGCTCTCTGCAGCTGCACCCAAATGTAAAAAGCCACTTTGGACACTTCAGAGATGGAGTTTTTAAGGAGGTTTTGGCGAGTCTTGTGAGGCTTTTTCATTATGTTTCAGCTTTCAGGCATTACTGAATTACCCGAACTGCACTCAAGATAAGAGATGTTGGGTTAATTAGATCTGCTTATGTGACAAAAAAGAGACAGGCTTGGATAAGCATTTATATCCAGTTAACATAACCAGTTTTTTTAGTTTTTCTGGGGGGATTAAAAACATACATGTTATTCAGCATGATCCTGAAAGAATTTTTGAAAAAGGCAGCAAAGAATTGGGACAGAACCTTTAAAGAGGACAATAAGCCTAAATGACAGCTATGGTTTAGATTAGGGCTGCAACAACGAATCGATAAAATCGATAAAAATCGACTTTTAAAAGCGTTGGCAACGAATTTAATCATCGATTAGTTGTTTCACCCGATTAATGCGTCATCAGCCGCCGCCGTCATCCGGGGGAAGAAAAAAAATATGGCGGAGCGAGTCAGCACCGCAGTTGCAGTGTTGCCAACTCAGCGACTTTTCAGACCCCTCCAGCGACTATCTTTCAAAAAAGCGACTAGCGAAAAATCTGGCGACTTTTTACGGTGTCAATGGCGGCTTTTGCCTGCCGTGGGGCGCCTCCCCCATCCCAACCCCTTTCTCCCTCTCAGCGCTGCAGTCAGAGCTGCAGGATATTAGTGAGGAGTTTACCCTCAGCGTCCAGACTGCAAATGAAGCGCGCATGCGCCGGGATTGACGGCGCAAATTGATCACAATAATTAAAATAGCCTACGCTTTCTAAAGTGAAAAAAGTCGTAACATGCAACTTTTGTAAAAACAAATGAACATGGCACGGAGGCACCACTGTTATGACGCAGCACCTGAAAAGAAAACACGTTGGAGCCTTCGATGGCAGTGAAGAGAGCTGATCAGCAGGATGAGTAACCATGTTTGTTTGGTTTTAAAGTGGGGAAACGTAACGTTAGTTTCTCAGGTAGCTCATCTGATGCTTTCCTTACCGTGTTAGTAGGTTACAGACAGTGATAAGGTTGGCTATTTTACTTTTAATTTCATTTGAATTAACTTAAGCAGCGTTTATATTTTCTTTATAAATAAATTAACTTGCAAATTATGAGGGCAAGGCTTTTAAAGTTTAAATCTTCTGGCAAAGATAAAGTAAAGAAGATCCTGCAATTTATGGAAGTAAAGCAGAATAAAATCCAGCAAGATCAGTAATATGTCAATTAATTATATGCCACATTCCCATGTAAATATCTGTCTTTGGAGGATGTGTTTTTTAGCACCCCTAGTTCTCTCATTTTTATTCCAAATACAATTTATAATTTGAATCACAGGGCTCTATGGTTAAGTATTTTCTCAAGCAGCAACTTTAACTGCTATACTTTCCTGTCTTAAAAGGCAGAATTCTTCTAGTCTAAAAAAAATGAATTTGTTGAAATGGGGGGACCTATTGTTTGAACCCCTTAGGGGCTTTTAAAAACAAAAATGCCTGTCTTTTTTTGCGCTTTATGAAACAAAGTACCCTATATTTTGTGGATGTACAGCTACATTTCTCATGTAAGTTTGCGTAGTTTTAACACAAACATTTATTTTTCATATTGCACCAGTACAGTTAATGAGCAACCTGTACTTGTGTGCTTGTTTGTTATGTCTAAAATGTTTATTTTGGAATAAAGAGGTTAATATAAAACATTTTTTTTGTCCGATTCATCGATTAATCGAAAAAATAATCGGCCGATTCATCGATTTTTAAAATAATCGTTAGTTGCAGCCCTAGTTTAGATCAAACGCTTCAGTCAAAGTTAAGGCCTGAATTCTACCATGAATCTGCTACAGAACTTCAGAATAGATGTCCTTGAACCATCTACAATGGATCCAACTGAGCTTAAGTTAATCTACAAAAATAACAGCAAGCTTTTTACTCTCAGGGGGCTAAATAGGTTAAAAGTTGGTTCTGCAAAACAAAACATAGAAAACAAGGATCCTACTCCTTTTCCCTCCACCGTATAACGATGCTTAGATCAAAGCATTAGAGATGAAAACTAACAAGATAGGAAAAAGTTCCAGACATGCATTATTTTTAAAAGCACTATACTTCTTTTAAAAGAAAATCACATTTCATCTCTTTCCACAAAGCTAAAGGAGATTATTTGCATAGCAGCATACATGTGTGGATCTTATTTGAAAAGTTGCATTAAACAATTGTATCTGAAGTGCATTAATTAACACATATCACTTTTTGTGTTTTCATAAATCTTGTTTAGATTTAGGCAGCATCCCTGCTGCTTTGCTTAAGGCTGGTTGGTAAACATACAAATCCAGAGTCAAGGAGATAGAAACAAAAGACCAGAGGGTGAAATGAAGCTTCTGTCTTCATCACAAACTCTGGACTAAAAACCGACTCACTAGCTTCCTCAGATTCCAGGGGGCTACCCTACAAACTTGATCCCCTAAAGCAGGTTTGTGTTCTTAGACATATTTCATTAAAGAGGTTCTAAAAAATGGATGCAGTGAGAGTAAATACCCTGAAAACCATAGTCAACATGAACCAGCTTGTACTCTGCTATCAAGCATGTTTTCTTCTATGCCTATATATATATATATATATATATATATATACAGTGTATTTTTTTTTTTTTTGTCAAAAATGTTTTTTGTTATTTTTTTTAAAAAACAAAAGCAAATTTCTTCCAGCCATGGCAACATTACTTTAAGCATCACAGTAAGAACCAGAGTCGGAAAAAGATAAATCTACAAAAAGTGCTTCAATTAAGTATTTTAAATAACTGAAAAAGATGCAAAGGATTGCCTCCTCTCTGGAAGCAAAGCACTTACCCCTCTTTTTGCGTGCCTCTTTAATCTCTTCACACATTCGGTCGAACTCAGGATCCAACTCAGCTGCAAATATAGCATGGGCCGTGTCCTTTAGGTTGCACGCTCTGTGTCTGATCACCTTGTCTGAGGAGAAAGAGGACAGCATAAAAAATTATTTTAAAAATGCAATATAGGGCCTGAAATTCAACAATCCCATAAGTCCAGATTTACTCCTTAGCTAACTAGTCAGCAGCAGTAGAAGAGACCAAACTGGCATGGTGTTCTGCTCATTTTGTGGAACTAAACGTTTAATCAAACTGGGGTGTGTAGAAAGTCAAGACCATGTTTAGTAAATCTATCATACCCGTCTAGAGACATATAGAGCAACTGTCTCATGTTGCTTATGAGTCCTGGGATGGAAAACCTGTTCAAAGACTCTAGAGGCTGGTTCAAAGAAATTACACCTAAATATTAGCTCAGTGCTTCAAAGGTTTGTTAAATTTTATAATAAATAGTTGACGGTTCATTTCTGAACTTTCCCTCAGATGTCCCCACCTGAAACAAACTGCTAACACATTTGATATCATTTCTCTCTATAAGACTTGAATAGAGCACGATTAAATAGGCAAGAATACATATTCTTCAAGTACATTCATTTACATAGAAATAAAATCCTCAAGGATTTTGACCTTTAAACACTTTCATCTGAATGCAGCTCTAAGCAGCTTTATATCTTTATATTCTGTTATGCATTCCTTCTTCTTTAAGACCACCAAGGCGTTTTTTTCCACACTTAGTCAGGCATGTAAGGCTAATAATCAATTGCAATCTTCCCCCGTTCTACTCCAAGTATGAGAACGTGGATTATAGGGTTTTCTCACCATTTCAAAAAGAAGATGAAGCTTTTTTTTTGTCCATCAGCCAATGAAAAACATTCAGATAAAAGCACTGATGCCACCACTTCACACTTTAAAGACAGGCAGGTGAATACCTCCACATGAGTCCAACACAAACAATGAAACATCTTCTCAAAATGTATACTCATTACTTCCAGGTCTCCCTATATCTTTGTAACTCCTGCGCTTGGCTCCTCTATACATGAGCAACAGCATCATTAAATGTTCTCCTTCCTTCACTCGTGCATCCAGAGAAGGGGGAATAAAGACTGAGCTGGAGACACAGGCTAAGGCGTAGCCACAGTAAACAGACAGTTTCTCATTACCGCAGGCAGTAGGAGAACAGTTCAGGCATAACAGGACAGAAGAGGTCACAATCTGCCAACTTTTGCTGTCTAATTGGACGACGGTTGCTTAATTGCAATGTGGCTGAGTGCGTGCCTTTTCTACTGTCAGCGTGTCTTATTATGTGTACATGCAAGTGCATTTTAAGGGCAAAAATGCCTGCGAGTAGAAGAGGTGTTAGAGGCCAGGTACAATGCTGAGAGCTCATCAGTACCCTTTTAAACACTACCTAACCTCCCTCTGTACAACAGACAGGAAGGCAGTGACAAACAGCACTGCAGCGTTCCAGCACACTTTCAGGATTTTTATCACTGCTTCTGTCCAGCAACCAAGTGGTTTTTGTGACACCGGAATTAATCTTAAGGGGCAAATATGTTTTTTTTTTTGTTTTTTTTTTACAAGGGAGTTCTTATTATTTAATGTGGGGGAACTTTAGGATAGCTTCTTTTTAAAAGAAAATAAATCTTTGTGCAGATATATATAAAGAAAAACGAGGCTTTATGAGTTTTCTTTACAGGCCGATTTTGTGAACTAAATAGTTGAGTTATTTTAAATGATTGCTCAGGCCAATATACAGCACTTGACACTAACAATGCTATGAGCTGGGCTTCCCTCTTAAAATAC